TGACACATTTTTTTAAATATTGTGGGAAAACGTCCGCAAACCCTAAAAATAGTCAAGTTATCATGTGTTTTCAAATTGTAATGGAATTGACCAGATGCCTATAGTCTACAAAAATTAATACAAAATATTTTTGAGCGGACCACTAAAAATAAACTTGCTTTCCCCCTCTTCACCCTCTTCCTGTTTCTCCTGATTCCGCACACCTGAGTTATTGGATTTTCTAAAACCTAAACGTTTTTAGAAAATGCCAATTTCACGTTTGCCGCCCACTCTCCCTGTTGTGACAAAGAAAAGAAAATTCTGGATGTTTTGGGTTGGTAGTGAGCCGAGGGGAAGGGGGAGTGGTTTTGAGTTGGTGCTACGGCTAAGCTAACAACGTCGCTAACTGCATCTTAAAGTGGAACTTCAGACTGGTAGACTACGCAGACACGTCACTGCCCCTCCTTCCTCAACCTCACATCAGCTTCGTCAACTCCCTGCCGGCCCAATAGACACCTCCTCCCCACCTTCGCCGCAGGATTTCATTGCTAGCATCGACCTTGCCCTAATGCCACCACCAGTGTTTAGTCCCCGGGGATCATGATCTGCAGCCAGAGCAAGGCCACAGCCGGGGCCTATGCCTAAACTACAAACAAACTTGCAATCAATAAATCTTTTAACGCATCTTGTCTCTACAGATTGAAACAGTATTTTCAAACGTGACTCATGTGTTCACCTTTTTCCATCACCAAAAGCAGATCTGAATCTCGTGGTTCGCTCCAAACATAAGAATCAGAAGACCATGACATCGTCGACAGCTTTTTTCGGAACAACAACTCAACAGTTCATGGATAAGAACCACTAGAAAACACATTTGAAAACACACATCAGATCCTATCAAAGACACATTTACATTATTAATCTGTGCAGACACGGAGAGAACATGCAGACTCCACAGAGGGTGGCGGATTCAAACCCAGGACCTTCTAGCTTTGAAGCACAAGAGCAGGAGGTGAACACTATATTCTAACATACAGGACCTTATTTCATCAATATTTGTCAATGTCAACTTTATTAGTATAGAACATTTACAACACCACCAGCTGCTTAAAGTGCTACACAGACACAAAAGATGAAAAAATACAATATTAACGGTTTACGGCTTGGTCTGTGCAAAAAGACCAAGGTCTGATATTTCTCTGTACAGACTGAGCAAATGAGGTTAATAAATGTTTTATTATATGTCTATTTTTAATTTGTGCAAATATCGATCGGTTTCAACTAGCAAAAACACATGCAACCAAACTGTCAAATGGTGACATGGAGAACTTGCTTATCAGATGATTGAGGCGCCCGCTGTAAGTTCTCAATCTCTTCTGTGTCGTTACCAATGCTTTTTAGATATTTGTGAAGTATGTTCATGTCCGACTTGGTTTTCCTAATCGTGTTTTTACCTTTCTGATCTGTAACGAAGTTGTCGACCTCTTCTTGACTGTTAGTTGTGTTTTCGTCGTTATTTGCTGTTATCACTTCCTCTGGCTCTTCGAACTCGTCCTGATAATAGAATTCACTGGAGAAAGCTCCCAGTCGTCGCTCACTATTTCTTTTTTACTGAGGAAAGATATCAAATCTGATACGCGCTGCGGACCTATTGTCATGGTAACGGTCCGAGATGGGAAAATATCAGACCGCAAATCAGCCAATCAGAGCACGCGTACGATCCAAGTCATATAATAAGAACGCTTATTACAAAACCAATGGACCTGATAGCATCAATATTTATGTTAAAATGTTATAGTTTTGGTTCTCAAGCTGATTATCCAGAATTAGCATGAGCTGGTTTGGATTGTTGTTGAAATGAATGAACAAAGAGAACAAACATATGGTTGTTTTAAACTGTTAACCATGCAAATGTATCCAAAACAGTAAATATTCTCATCATGTATAAGACCAACAACACGTACCATATCATGTGTTATTTAAAATTCACGTATGATTTAGTAATGTTTTATTGAGATACAACCAAATGTGTTCAAACTTAGATCTGAAGCTAGAGATTGTAATAACATAATTTCAACGCACAAAGACAGCGCTGTATAAGAAACTCCATGCCAAAATAATTATATATTTCATTTCTGGCCCTGAAGTTTCATCTGAAGATACAAAACCTGTGGCGATAACTTTGATTCTCGCTGTTCCGCTTTTCTCCTGTTTTCCACCTCATTCCCTCGGGTCCCATTGCATACATCTGACACTGAGCAATTAGCTTCCTCAGTAATAAAACACATCTCTCCTGTCTCCATCTTGTCATCTTTTCAGTGCCTGGATTCTCCCTCTTCCCTCGCTGTTAGTTTTTAGTGCAGCGGCAGACAAGCTTAACAACGTCACAAAAATAGCTCCGGGCTTAATGTTAAATCTCCCGAACAGAGGCCACTATTTTGCACTTTCTTCCCTGTTATAAACATATATAGATCAAAGCACAGCAGGCCCAATTTTAGCACCGGAGTTGGCGTAGATGCATTAGTCCGCCGCATTTCAATTCTCTTGGGAAAACAGACAAGCGTCGCCATTTGAGGGGGTTTTACAACATGATACGTGTTGGTTATAAATATAGGGTTGAAAGGGACATTTCTGATTCGTTTCTGGAAAGTTTCTGCTGAAAGGGAAGTCAAACTGGGGAGTTGTGGAAATATTCACTAACTGGGAAATATTTGTAATGTAATTAAGTTGTATCATATCCAAGATTTTCAACAGATATTTCAACAGATTTAATTAATCAATGCGTATGGACATTGGTCATCTGCCCCTTATAGACCAGTACTAATGTGTTTTCTATTTAATTTCTTTTGTGTGCCCCATAAGTGCCCCATAAAATCAAAACTTATTTCACTTTACTGGAGGCACACAACTGAGCCTGTGTACTAATCATTCTTGTGCTTTGAGCTGAAAAGTCTGTTCCAGTCTTGTTGAAATCCTTTGAACATGTGATGAAGATATGTGCAGAGCCAGACGGGGGCGCTGTCTTTTTTGCTATAGTGAGCAGTGTGTGCGTGGGAATGAGAAATAAGAAATGACCAAGCCCCGGTGATCCAAGATGGCGCCCCATTCAAATGAATGGCTTGTGCTCAGTAGCGTATGGGACTTCACGGGGACCGAGAGATTAGCAGAACTCGCCCATATTTGGGCATCGTCTGGTCCTCCCGGTTCTGCGCAGTGGACGAGCTCCCATGATGCGTTGCGCCAAATACATGTGTGTGGCTCTCATGCACGCGCACAGAGGGGCTCGGCCGCGCTCTGATCAATCAGAGCTGCTGATCAGAGCAGCGGTAGAGCGGAGTAAGAGCGGGAAGGAAAGGAGTAAGTAGTAGTAGTAAGTAATCTTTATTTATATACCGCCTTTTCACTGCACATCGGAGTCTCAAAGCGGTTTACAATTGTTATTTTTGGGAGTGGGGGTGCCAGTACAGGAGGCACATGCCAGACCTATTGTACATATTTTTAGTGGTAGGGGAAACCAGAGTACCCGGAGGAAACCGGAGCAGACACGGGGAGAACATGCAAACTCCACTCAGAAAGGCCCTGGTCCAACCGGGATTCGAACCCAGGACCTTCTTGCTGAGAGGCGAGAGTGCTATCCACTCAGCCACCGTGCCGCCCAGGAGGAGCAGAGTTTGTCGCAGTAAAATGTGGATTTAAAGAAAACTGAAGGATTTAAGAAGAAAAAAAGTTCAGGATGACAAGGGATACTAAAATTCCCACAAAATCCAATCTTTATGAAAGCTATAGGTTCTCTGTCATCTGAGGTCGAGCTGTTTTAATTTACATTGAGTTCTATGGGACTTTTTTCTTGGTAGCCCACGTGAATTTAGTCTGCAGTAACAAGGGCGCCCCCTGTGCCCGTGAGCGGGACAGCTGTAAGCTAGTAATACTCTATCCAGTTATTATCATAGATCCATGGAAATGACTGGGATATTCAAGTATATTTAAATGGCGTCTGTTTTTGTCTATATAATGCTAAAATATACTGTATATTTAAGTCCCCCATAAAGTAAGTAAGTAATCTTTATTTATATACCGCCTTTCACAGACCAGAGTCACAAAGCGGTTTACATTTGTTATTTTTTGGGCATTTGTCTCTCACTCCACACAGAGATGGGAGCGGGGTCACCAGTACAGGAGGCGCATGCATAGACCTATTGTACATGTTTTTAGTGGTAGGGGAAACCGGAGTACCCGGAGGAAACCTACGCAGACACGGGGAGAACATGCAAACTCCACTCAGAAAGGCCCTGTTCCGATTTGATTTCGATTCGATTTGAACCCAGGACATTCTTGCTGAGAGGCGAGAGGGCTATCCACTCAGCCACCGTGCCACCCATAAAGAGCCAACCTTCACTGTAAAATTTCCACTTTTACATACATTTCTGTTAATTACCTAAAACTATCTGGTGCACAGTTTTTCAGATGTGGTTTTACTGCAAATGGCAAAAAAAAAAATCTTGTATTTTGTAATTCCCAGGGAAAGTTCCTATCTTAACCGAAATGTTGCAACTCTAGTTCTATATGACTTTGTGTCGAGATATTGTTGCTGAAGTTCAACATAAGGGATAATAAAGACGAGAAGAAATATTCGGTTTCAAAAGCTGCCACCAGAATGAGAAGCATAACTTAAAAAAAAAAGTAGCAGCCCTGGGGTCGTTGTGAGAGAGCTGGCAGAGGCGAGTGTGGTGAGAGGCGGCACTAAGCCACAAAAGAGCAAAGACTGGAGTCCATTTATTATTTGACTTTTTATTTTCCAAAGCACTGATTTAGAAAACGAGTGTGAGCGGTGATGCATTAGAGAAAATAAGAACAAAAACGCTCAAATAGAACAACAGGTACTGCCAAAACACAAAAACCAATTTGTAATTTCACATTCATCCGCGTCCACCGGTGTTGGCCGACAACTTGGAGAAAGTTAGAGTGTAATGAATCAACGAGAGGCCTATTATGTTTTCGGGTTTTGTACTTCCGCATTGTCCATGAAAAAGAATTCAGAGTTAGTCGGTGAGTTAGGGGCGTGTAGACCGTGTAGAGTCCTCCACAGACACAATAAACTCACATTTAATATAGGCTAATACAGGCTAAAAGTCACTATGTATGTCCTGTAGATCATATTGGCGCTCTCTCCGTGCCTAGGTGGGTTTCCTCCAAGTGCTCCGGTTCATCCCACCCTTCCAAATCATGCACTGGTTACATCAATCGAGTCCTGTAGATGATTCAAGCGAGGACAAAGTTCCCTTTAGGGCAGGGGCTTCTAACCGGTTCCAGAAAGGGCAGGTGTGAGTCGCCGCAACTCCAGACTCCACCCATTTCCTCAAATCGTCAACTTCAAACTGGACTCATCGGAGGAAATGGGTTGCTTGCTTTAGGGACAATGAATGATAGCTTACCTTACTTAAACTGTTAGCTTATTATGAATTTGTGTGACATTTTGAAGTTGTTCTGAGGGAGACACATCCATCTGGAGGGAGCCAGTTCCCAGATTTCAATATCCGGATAATCCCAGTTTGTTTTCCCCGTTTTCTTTTACTTGTATTTTCTTTATTGATATGAACGCAACAAACATTTCGCAAACACAGACCAACAAAGACAAAATATTGAACTGTATTCGTCTCTACCTTGTCCTTATCTGTGCCAATGCCTGAGATAAATGAATAAATGAAACACATTTTTAGGCACACCTCAAATAAATCAATAATATACAATTTCTTACTCTTTCTACGCTACTTGCATTGTCTTTTTTCTGACCAAAACTTCGCACATTGGTCAGATCTGATGTCAATGGAGTGTTTTAAATAAGATTGGGGAAACATTAAAGGTAAAACTTAAGGATGCACTATTTGCTTGCTTAATAACTTACCGGTAATTACTATATTGTCATTATTGATACATGATTACACGCAGGTTAACAGTACAGTCAGGTTCTGCAATCAAATTTTTGACGTGTGTATGTATAGCTTGCAAACTGTTTAAAAACGTTCTTAATAAGTAGAATAATACCTCTCCCTACACACCAACAAAACATAGTTGAGAACACAGTAAGTTATCTGCCGCGTTGACAGGGAGGGAGCAGGGTTTGGTGACTCCCCCTCCCCTCGCCGCCCGAGATAAGACCCAAAAAGCCACAAACTGTATCGCGAAAAGAAGTCAGTCCATCTACAAGCCCTCAACAATGACGGCTTCCAAAGAGTAAGTGCACTTGTCTCTTAACTCCAACAATAAAAGTCTATTTTCTCTGTCTGTGTGATTGATGTTCCACAGTGAAAAGCAGCAGACACCAGATGAGAGCGTCACTGCTAAAGAGACCAAGAAGCACAAGAAGAAAGCGGATAACTGGAGACCCCTGGGCCCTCGAGACCCATTTGCCATGGTCGGGTTTTTTAAATTGAGCTTTCTCTGTTTATGCTATACCACACTTTTCAACTAGATTTCTACGCCAACAGCTGAACGCACTGCCAGAAGAGAAGCAGCAAGAAATCCAAAGGGCATTGCACCTCTTTAATTTAGGTCCAACTCTGCCCAGGACGCTGGAGCAAGCAAAGAAACATCAATACCACTTCTGGGACACACAGCCGGTCCCGAAACTTGGTAAAAACTACTTCTTATAACTTCAAAACGCCTGGCTTTGCATTTAATGGCACACTGGTGATGGATTGCCAGTTTTTTCTCTTGTTTAAAAATGGAGAGGGAAAATTCTGGTACAATTTTGGGAAGTTTCCGCTAAATCTTCATGGGAATTTTGGAAATATTCAATAGCCGGGAATTGATTGTAGTGTAATTAACTCTCATCCTATCCAAGATTTTCAACTGATATTTTTTCCCGATAGAGAGCCAACCTTGCGTAGAGAAAATTCCCTGTTAATTCCCAATTATTCCCATAAATTGCAGATAATTCCCTAAAATTCCCAATAATTTCCACGGAAAGTTTCTATCTTTTAAAATTCCCATCATGTTACCACTCCAGCTATAAATGACTTTTTTGTGTTGAGATATTGCTGCTGAATTTCAAAAACCAGGGATAAAAAAGAGAATAAACTTCTGCCAAAACTTGGTATAAAAACAACTTCTTACAACTTCACAAACGCCTGGCTTTGCCTTTTACTGCACCCTGGTGATAGATAACCAGTTTTTTCTCTTGTTTTTTTATGCGTCCAAAGGTGACACTATTTCGAGTCACGGTCCAGTAGCAGACGGAGAGCGCCGGGTCCGTGCAGAACCGTATTCTCTGCCCCAAGGCTTTTCATGGGACACTCTGGACCTCAGCAGCGCAGCAGTGGTACGGGATAAATCCACATCTATCAAAGTCTTTCTTGGGATAATTTGGCCATTTCACTGCTCCACCAGGCTCTTATTCTGGTTTCAGGCTGGCTTTGAGAACATGTTTTATGGAGCAAAACAGAAAAATACAAATCGCACAATATCTCACAAAGCCAATAGCCATAATCTTCTTCTTCTTCTTTTTTTAGTTGAAAGAGCTTTGTACTCTTCTGAATGACAATTTCACAGTGGAGGACGACAATACGCTCAGACTGGACTTCACAGAGGAGTTTCTCAAGTGGTAAATGTTTATGTTGGATTGAGTGTCCAAAAACCCATTATTGGACACTCCAACAACATTTGTGGACATTGGTCTTCTGCCCCCTATGGACCAATTGTTGTCATTGCATTTCTTGTGTTTGAACCGGTTTGATTCTCTGATCTCTGTTGGCAAATTTAACGGTTATATTAATTACTATATCTTAATTTGTGTCCATACTTGAGCCAGATCCTGCCTCACCTCTGAAGCTGTGCAGGGCAGAGCTTGGTTAGTACTGTGATGGGAGACCTCTGGGAACAACAGGTGCCACAGTCGGGCGGCTGTAGCTGTAAAGTGACAAATTGCCGTTGTGTCTTTAGGCAAGACACTTCACCCACATTGCCATGAATGAGTCTGGTGTGTGTGAAAATGGTTGGTGGTGGTCAGAGGGGCTGATGGCACATAATGGTTGCCTTGCTTCTGTCAGTGTGCCCCAGGGCAGCTTTGAAGTGTCTTTGAGTGTCCAAAAAAAACGCCATATAAAACCAATGCATTATTATTATTACTATTAAGTTCTCCAAGATAAATACTGTTGTGATTTAGGGCTATACAAAAAAAAATTGAATTGAAGTATTAACAATTCTATAGCGAGAGAGAGAAAAGTTTGTAAAGTTTGTGCGTTTGATGTGTTTTCCGAGGACTTTGCAGAGCCCACAGTGGCTGCCCCAGTGGCACTGCGGTGTCAGGGTCGATTCTAACAAGAAGCTGGTGGGTTTCATCGCAGCAGTTCCTACAGACCTCACCGTTTATGCCAAGTGAGTACCCGTTATCACGACCACAAGAACATGCTTTTTGTGTGTATTAAACGTCCGTATTCTGCAGAGGAATGTATATGGAAATTCGTATTCAAATGTGTGTGTGTCTTTTGTTTAGTGTGAAAAGAAAAGATAAGGAATAGACGTCTTCCTCAAGCTTAATTCAATTAACTTTATTTACAAAACGAATCGTGCACACACTTGTTTCTTCTGTATGACTTTAACTTTATTCAACATTTTTCAAAAACAAATTAACTTAGACAATACCGCATGATATCAAGGCAAAACAAAAGATGCACATATATTTATTGATCATCGCTCAAGAAAAGAAACACTTTTTTATTATTATTGTTTTTTTATTTACTATCATTATTTGTATTATTATTATTATCATTATTATGAACTTATTTATTTATCTTTTTTTTTTTTTTTTTTGAGCTTCTCTGTCCATTACAAGGGGAAAGGGGATATGGGGAACAAAAAGGGCATAAAAAGTAAAGTGTGATGCATGCCAACCAGTGCAAAAATGTAAATACAATGTAGCACTTGAATAAAACATTTATCACAAAAAAAGGAAATAATAATGAAACTTAAAAACATAAAAATACCTAAAAATAAAAGTCAAACATCATAAACATTTTACCATATTATAAAAAAAATATTCCTTTCCCTGAGTCAGAGATGCCACTGAGACAATATTCTTAAAATATGGGGACTATTTTCTCTCATAAATACACATACTTGTTTCTGAAGTTTGTAAGTGCATTAGCTTAGAGGTGACATGAGCTAAAGCACACGTCTGACTGTGAGCCTCCTGGGACAGTGTCACCTCTGATCTGACCTGCCCCCGAGACATCTGCTGCTCCAGGTCGGATCAGATCAGATCAGCAGTACTCATTGTCAGACTGTACAATGAGTACTGCTGAGTCTGACCGTATGCCATATACCCTTCTGTACTGATAATTCACTTGTGATTTTACCCACTGCTGCTATTATTATTATTGTCATTATTTTTATTTTTATTTTTATTATTATTATTATTGTTATTTATTCTGGTCACATTGTCCTCTGCTAAAGTACAACATTGTGAATCCTCATGACTGCGAACCACAGTATGTACTGGACAGTGACTAATCTTTGAACCAAGTGCGATTATAGCTCCAGAGTTTATTTTCTTTATTATATATTATCTGGAATGATACATCATGTGCTGAGCTGAGGTACGAATAAAAGGTTATTGTATCGTATCTGAACTTATAGATGTTATTATTTAAATATTTTACATATAGAGTAGAGCAGGTGATTGATAGCTCCTGGGAATTTAGTTGAAACTTCCATAAAATACAATTAAAATTATACTTTTTTGGAATAATAGATTCAAATGTAATAACAAGACTGTCAGAGTCTTGTTATTACAAACTGCGCAGAGATGGATTTCATCAAATTGGGAACAGGCAGAGCCCCCTAACCCTAACCCGGACCCGGACCCTCATGTGCGTTGGTCGAGAGATGAAATGATGGACTTGGATTGTTCTAGTCCTCAGGGGCTCTATAACAAAAAGCTCCCAATCTCTGTATTTATTCTGGGAGTAATGTGGTAAGTGGTCTATTGCAGACGTCTGAGTGCTTATGAGGAGGTACATCTCACCAGATATTTTTTGAGATGGGGGCATGAACTACAATCATTGACACATTTAAAGACAAAAATGTACCAATGGTAAAGTCTCCTCTCCTTGCCCTGCAGCTAGTCCAGTTGGTCACACAGAGTCCAATAATCATAATCGGACACCTTAGAACAAATCCATAGACTGCATTGTAAAGTAAATAATGGGTCCAGTGCTTTCTGTTTGGAGCCGAATGTTATATTTGTGTTTGGCTCAAAATAAAGTGTTCAAATCAAATCACGTTTTGTTTGTGTTTTTCTCAGGGAGATAAACATGGTACAGGTGCGACTCCTGTGCGTCCATAAGAAACTGCGTCAGAAGAGGATGACTCCGGTTCTGATCCGGGAGCTGAGCCGGCGGGTGGCCCAGCGGGGGGTCCAGCAGGGGCTCTACAGCGCTCATGTGGTCCTGCCCACTCCTCTGTCCACCTGCAGGTACGGAACACTCACACTAATGCATTATGGGAGATATCTGCTGTCACTTCTTATTATGAGTAAGTAAATGCTCTTTATTTATAACCTAATTATTCATAACTTTAACACCCACAGCGGTTACCATGGCAACACACTGTTAAAAGTTAGCATTTGGTAGATAGATAGAGATAGGTTCGATAGATAGATAGAGAGATAGATACTTTATTGACCCCCGTAGGAGAAATTCAGGTGTCCAGCAGCAGAAGACTCATCAGACTGACTCATTGTACAGTCTGACAGCCGAAGGAACAAAGGATCTCTTGAAACGTTCCGTTCGGCAGCGTAGTGATAGGAGCACTTATTAAAAGTGGGTAAACGTAAGAAACCTTAAAGATTACATACTTTTGTTATAATTTTTGGGGGGATGTTTTCAGTATTGAGAACAGTTTTTATGTAATTTCTGAATTCTAGGAGTCTTAGTGTCATATGTGTTCTGTGTGTGTTACATATAAGAATTCTTATATGAGTTTATTTCATATGAATCATAATAAATACATATTTTTTCTTTAACTTATTCCAAAGCAAACTCCTTGTTGGTGATTTCTGTTTCAGATTCTGATGTGATATAATTTCTTTCTGCCTTGATTCCGTGTTAATGTTACATCTGCAAATGTTCCCTGGTTTATTTCAATACATCCATTATGCATTTAATCAATTGCAACGTAGCTTTTTAAATACTTTTTTTCTTTGGCATCTGTTTTTCCTCTACACAAATCCTCCCTGTATTCTCCACATGCAGAATCAATCTGTTAATTGTCAATATTTCACAGACATCAATCTGACAGAGCTTCACTGCTCGTTACATTCACATAGTTTCATGGTTTGTTTCTGGGTTTTTCCACTCTTATGTCTACAGTTACTGGCATCGTTCCCTGAATACCAGAAAACTGATGGAGTTGAAGTATCCCGGAGTGAGGCAGGACATAGCGGTGCAGAGAGCCGTCAAACTGAACAAACTCCGAGATGTAAGCTGCTGCTGCCCCCTGCAGGACTCGGCACACATAATACATTTCACCCAATAGCTGCATTTTGTGGATAAAGAGTTCTCTAAATATGCACTGTTATGTGTCTGGTCATCTACTTTTTTGGGGAATGCTCCATTTGCTACATTTTTAAGTGTAATGTTTTTTCTCTCCTGTAGGCGACAAAAACAGCAGGACTGCGAGCCATGACCAGAGCAGACATCCCAGCGCTCCACTCTCTGCTCCAATCCAACAAGTCTAAGTTTGACCTCAGCACCAACTTTTCTGTTCAGGGAGTAGAACACTGGCTGCTTCCAAGGGACAGACTGACCTTCTCATATGTGATCCAGGTCAGTCAGAATGTCCCACAGTACAAGGGCTGCAGAGTGAGAAATAGCAGCGACACTGCTGTCCTTGGTCAGATAATCTATTATAAAGATAAATATTCCATACATCTTTTAGATATATATTTGTGTCCTATTATTCAATGTAGTTTTCAATATGTATTGTTATTCCTTTTATTCTCACATGTCAATCTCTTACTTGTTATTGTATTGTTTTTGGTATCCCCCATGGAGCTCACTGCTCCTGGTGCAGACGGCTCCTTGAATGGCGCTGATGTGACAATACAATACAATTACAATACAATTTATTCTTGTATAGCCCTAAATTACAACAGTATCATCTCAGAGGACTTAACAAAACATCACCAACACAGATCAGAGAATCAACAGTTAAAACACAAAAGAATATAGAACACATGTTGATAAATGTCATACATGTTGTAGAATGTTAAAGTGTCCTGGATCGCCACAGTCCTTCTTGTTAGACACTAACTGTCCAACAGACCCTCATGCCTCGGCAAGGAAAAACTCACAAGTTGTTTGTGTTTGTTTGTGTACACTTTTTAATTAAACAAATTTTCTATAAAAATGTTTGTGCAAAAAGCCCTTTATAGATAAAATGTGATTGGTCGGTCCTGTAGGGGGAGGATGGCGGTCTGAGCGGTGCCTTCAGCTTCTTCTCTCTGAGCTGGGAGGTTCTGAATGATCCACAGCACTTGGAGCTGAGGGAGGCGCAGCTGCTGTTCTGCCTGTGTCCGTCTGCAGACCTGAAGGACGTCATGGAGGATGCACTGGTCCTGGCTAAAGCGGTAAGGCTTTTTAGAACAGGTACAACTGTCCCTAAAGTTTACTCAAAGATGAAAAAGTTGGACCTGGATCGGTCCCAATAATGACATTCTATTCTTCAATATAATGTGTCAAATCTCTTTGTTTGGGCGCATCTCTGACTGTATTATCTGCTGTGGATGTCAAGTAGAATAAGTCTATTTTGGTCCCAGTGAATTTGGCCCATGCTCACCTGCTGTAAGATTACAGATAATGTGAAATCCTCAGATAGAAGAGTAAACTTAGAACCATTGAAAAAATCTAATTTGTGATGTTGCACTTGATTTTAACGAATCAAATGTTGCTAAAAATGTAAGACAAAAAATACGCAACATGTTCATGCGCCGAGCAAAGTCATGTTTCAAATGTTTTATGATTGTATGCCGTACTTCAAAATGATTATGTCAGATGCCAACTGCATTTGTGTTCTCTAGGTCCAAAACCACCAAATATACAGTATCCATTCAAAAATATTCAGAAAATGTGCAATAAGTGACAAGGGCCAAATAAGTACAGCCTCAATGTCAAATGAAATGTAGAAGTCTTAACAAACTGAACAGATAGAACTATAATATCTCACTGTTCTGTCCGTGCATTTGGAACAGTCACTAAAATGTGTTTTCACCTTCCCATGAGCCCCTTGTAGGGTTTCAAATGTATCAAAAATTAGCCTTTATTAACATTCAGGATTATCTGGAAGAGGGAAACGCATGGATTCTAAACATGATTGTGTAAAGTCTGTGAAACTAGTCTTTTCTATTTGTGTTCTGAACAAAAAGGGATTTACAGTTACACTTTGGCTGAACTATTAATCTTTACTTTAGGATTCAATGTTCAGTAAACTTAATTAGGTTGTTAAAAAATGATGTGAGTGAGGAGTGGGTAAATTTGCTGAATTTGTTAATAAAAATAAAAAGGAGTATTACAGGGAAAAGAAAAAAACAGAAACAGGAAATTAGTACTTTGTTATTAAGTCTCTGTTTGGTCAAATTCTGCATCAAAATAAATAATAGGTCTTAGATGAAAAAAAATAATAATAATAATAAAAGAAATTAGTTCATACAGTTTTAGAATGTATTCATTATCAGTTATTTTGTTTAAAAATGCCACTTAAAGAGCGACTTAACTCATAAACTGCATAAATATGTTAATTGTAGTGCTCTCTAAATATCCTGGTCTTTTTTTTTTTTTGAAATTTTAGTGCAAATTAGAAAAAATGTCACTTTTGAGCCTAAAAACGTCTGTGTGGCGCCCTCTAAACCTTTTCGGTGGTACTACATTTGAATTTGGTCCTGGCCTCTCCATTGACTCTGAAATTCTGTGTGACGTCAGTTGGTGTGTGCTACGTCAGTTGGTGTGTGTGAGGTCAGTTGGTGTGTGTGACGTCAGTTGGTGTGTGTGACGTCAGTTGGTGTGTGTGACGTCAGTTGGTGTGTGTGACGTCAGTTGGTATGTATGACGTCAGTTGGTGTGTATGACGTCAGTTGGTGTGTGTGACGTCAGTTTGTATGCGTGACGTCAGTTGGTGTGTGTGACGTCAGTTGGTGTGTGTGACGTCAGTTTGTATGTGTGACGTCAGTTTGTATGTGTGACGTCAGTTGGTGTGTGTGACATCAGTTTGTGTGTGTGACGTCAGTTGGTGTGTGTGACGTCAGTTGGTGTGTGTGATGTCAGTTGGTGTGTGTGACATCAGTTTGTGTGTGTGACGTGCGTCTCTCTGCGCCAGTGATATATAAACCCATCCAACTCTCACACACTCCCCAGCAGCAGGTATGTCTTGGTTGGAGTATTCTGGCGACATCTAGTGGATTAAAATTAAATTACATGAGTTGACAACCACTTCTGCTGAGATAATTCTGTGGCTTAGGTTCAGGTGTGTAGCTCTGCAATTATCTTAGTGTGTAAAGAAGGGAATGAGACTTTCTGGTGTGTAAACTATTGCTTTAAGCAGCAATGACAACTGTCTGCTTTTTTTTTCGTGTCACAAGTGAGCTGTCAATCACAGCCCAGACCACGCCCAACTCTAAGCCCCCCTTCTTGTCCCTTGGTCCTCCAGGCAACGCCCTTTTAAGAGAAAATGTTCAAATGTTCATGTGGGCTGGTAAGGCTGGGCACAGGTGTTTAGTCGCCCTTTAAAGTGGTTTGTCCTAAAGTGACGCATAATGTTTTGGACCAGTTTACAATGACACAACCTACTTTCACTCATATCTTGTTTGAAAATGTGATCCACAGAAAGGCTTTGACGTCTTCACAGCTTTAGACGTCATGGACAACAAGACGTTTTTGGAAAATCTCAAGTTCAACATGAGCGGGAAGAGAACGCACACTTACCTATACAACTGGAAATGCCCGACTGTAAATCCAGACAAGGTACTGGGCATCGACGCAACACAATTTTCTTTCCTTTTGTCCTTTGACTATATTTGTAATTTACAGGTCGGATTTGTATTACCCATCTAATCTGCCCTTGAGAGACGAGAGATTTACAACTTGCATTAGGCTCCTACAAGCAACGCAAGGCCAAACACAACTTGAAGTCCCGGAAACAGAAACACAATTCATCATGTGTGGGTTGGTAATTGAGGGAGATTTCACTTCTGAGTCAGAGATGAATAGTTCCCTTGATACCGAGCCAAAAAAACTGCTCTTTTATCGGGTCAGGGCTGAGTTCATTACTACTGGATGTGGTTGCGTGACTAATGTGTTTTGTTTACACACGTTTCAATGTTATTCTCGTCCACATCGATGGAATTCAATTACGTGTCCCTCGTCGACAAATTAAAGCCTGCATAAATCTCATCAGAAGTGGGTCATTAATCATTCTTTCGCCCGTGTGTCTCGTGAGAGCAGAGAGACATACATGTATTTCTTCACATGTTATTTGCTTCTTCAATGCTGCTAGCTTTGAACTGTTTTTGATGCAGAGGTCACTCACAAAGAATGTATGAACCAAAGAATGCTCTGACCCACAGCCCCCATGAGTAGAGATACGGAACGTGTTTAAATGCATATGTTAAAATGAGTAAATATCTATTCTATATTCGTCATGACATTAACTTTATATTGTAAGTTGAGTTACTGAAGTAAATTGACTTTTAAATGACATTGTAATTTTAAAAGTTTGATCTGAGTGTGATGTGGTGTTAGAGATGATATTGTTTTTTTTAATACACAACTGATTTAAAAACTGAATATAATGGATTATATAATATACATATTTGTCCTGGTATATTTGAATACGTCACTGCTTTTGTTTCTTCTTGTCCACACTGATGACATCGTGTGGTAATGTCATAAAAATCCTGCAGATGGCGTAAGAGATTAAAGTGTTATGCTTCATTTGTCCTGTGTTGTGTACTGTCTATGTCTGTGACACTGATCCATGCAGGAGTATCTTTCTAGACTTTCCCTGAACTATTGAAAAAATTAGAAGCAAATGTCTATTTGTATTAGTGGTTAAAAGAAATCCAGTCATGAACAGTTCACATTCTAGTATCAATTGGCAAAAACACTTCTATTGCTGCAAACCATTAAGCAGACCTTTGCAATGACAATAGACAGATATTAATCATTATTATTATTATTATTATTGTACCTATTTCCTTTGGTAATGTACATGAAATGGAGCACCTACCTATTCCCTCCTCCATAATTAATACCTGGTCTTTGTCCCAACAAAAGGAGACTCCAAAGGTAAAATGTTAGGGCAACAAATACAACAACTATGCTCTTATATTTATTATTATCTTGTTAGAAGCCCTATTATCTTTTACGAGTGAGTGAGTCACTATTTTAGTAATACGTTTTTTTTTCTCGTCTCATTATAGCAAAGGAAACTCTTCTCATTATACTTGAAAATCATTCAAACCCATTACCTTCATTCCGTTATTATAATAGATCCATGCTTCATTCTGAGAAGAGAGAGTGCGAACCACTCACCGTCTGAGATCTGATTGGCTGAATGAGGGCGGTCCTCTTTTTTCACTTTTCCTCCTGAAACAGCTGATCTAAACATGTGAAAAGGCCAAAAACACATGCACGGTAATAGCACCTAATTGTTTCGAGAGATAAGAAATAACACTGATTTGAAAGAGTACCATTGTTGTGGCCTGAACGATAGCTTTAATAACCAAATATATCTTGAACCACATATTCAAAACATCTCCGTGTCTCAGGGTGATTTGATCATTCTAAAACAATGACATTACTATAACGCCCGCAGTCTTTGACCCCAAAAACACACATACACACGGCTTGTTTCCCAGACGCACTTGAAGGCACCACGGCTCTTCTGCTTTCCCGTATCAGCCAATCAGAGCTGGAGCCTGCGCGTTTTAAGTTTGATGACCCAGGATCAGCCTGTACAGTCCGTCTGCTGCTGCTGCTTATCCGGGCCAAACTCCCACCCCGTACTCCCTACCAACGCCTCACCGGACAATAACCGGAGAATAATCGGAATAACTTTAGGAACCAACAATACATTTCCTTGTTTCCGCTCGCACCATATTTGGGGTCGCCTTTGACAGCACGCGCACACCTCAGCCTGTCTAGCTCGTGCACTCACGTTAGCATAACACCGCAAACTTTCACAAGCCTAATCCAATTCTTCTTCATAATCGTTTTTGATTCCTTGCCACATCGCCCACAACATTTCTCCATCAATATTTGTTTTTGTGTTTTTGCAAGCCTTGAGAAAGACTATCCCCGCTATCTCAGGTAAGCCCTGTGCATGATCGTATTAGCTATGAATGTGTAATGACATTTGTAAACATGCAGATCTACCAGAAAACTAACGCTGAATTACTGATGCAAAGGGTGTGTGTGTGTGTGTGTGTGTGTGTGTGTATGTGTGTATGTACTGGTGCATATGTCGAAACTGCATTGCGTTAGTTGGTTAACTTTAGATCCTTTTATTCGTTCCACAATGGGAGGAATTTCAGTGTTGCATCACAAGTTTCAGTACAGTGGGAATGAGGAGCACATAACACAAGATTAGTGAATATTAATCATAGCACATTAATAATAAATATCTTTCTTTTTTATTGTTTTGTTTTACTTTTTTATTATTTTATTTAAATTGGGGACATGACAATACATCAGTTATTACAATTACATTTCAAATAATGGTAGGCTTGTCACACAAATGAAAAGGAGCAGAAAGAATAATAATATTTAGCTTAATAAAGAAGTATGCATGTTTGAGATATACACCTGTATACTCTTGTGCAACATTTGTGGATAAAGCTGTATTTCTAGAATATTGACTGAGACATCAAGACTATGCTTCAAATACTAACAGTGATGATTCTACTTTACGTGTTCGCAGCATGAGGGTGTGATAATAGGCTCTGGGCTAAACATTACAAGCATTTTATACTTAAGAAATTCATAAAAATCTATCTTTAGCTTATTGATCTTGTATAACACTTTTGAAGCAACTGTGGTAAAAGCTGGTCATATGCTTAATGAAGAAGTTTACATAACCTGTATATCCTAGTGCAAATATAACTTGTGTTGCTCCTGTTTTTCCTCAAAATAAAAAAAAATATGTATGTAGATAAATGTGGCAAGAGCTGGTGCACACCGGGGTAGTCTTGCACAGTTTTTCCAATGTGGTTTTACTGCAAATGGCAAATAAATGAATCTGAATCTGAATCTGAATCTGGTACACTCAAGTGAAAAAAACATTGAAGTAATAAATCATTAGCTCTGTGGGTTCAAATATTCACTGCAATTATGATACTTCTGCACATGTTAGCAGCATGAGGCTTAAAGTGATAAACTAACTGCTTTATTAACCATTAGATTACGTAGCGATAGTGGGGTGTTCTTTCAGCAGCCTTTGTATGTCATCCATTGTTAGTACACATATGTTGATGTTGTCGTTCTTATCTTCAAGTCTTGACAAACTGAACCGAGGTGACTATTTCATCAAGCAAGTCTGACCGCAAAAAACTGCCTTTCTGTAAATAGTGGCAGGAGAGAGAACAGCTGTGAGAAAACCACCTGTGAAAACATTGTAGTGTTAGAAGTGTGAGCAAAGACACAACTGCTGAGTGTGCTGTTTGTGTTGTAACATTTGGACGAGCAGGAGCTGGTGTCTAATAGTGCTGAATCAAAGTGATGTTTGCCTGTGCCAGACTGTCCCTGCAGTGCAAACACACGGGGCATATGTGCACTAGACTGAGCGTTGTGATTTAAGCTGCTTTACCTAACTATGAAACCGCAGAAATGAACCAAAATCCATGTGGCTGGTTCCATCTTTCTAGCTCTCAAACTAGTTTTCACTTTTCTCATGCATGTACAGTATTTTTGTCACATCTTTAGATCCACTTTTACTGAGAGAAAAGTGAAAAGGAGAGGACTCGGCTCTCAATGATTCAAAAAGGTTAATTTTGCCTTGAGTTAAGATATTGTTTGTGGTTCTTTGGAAAGACAAGTTAGATGTATTTACCTTGTTAAAGATGTATTATCTTGGTAACATGTTATCAAGGTAATACAGCTTGGCATTCCACACAAAAATGGATAAATTAAGTAAATACATATGACTATGCAATCAAATGTTTTCTATTAAGATAAAGACGGCTTGTTGTTATTTTGTTTGTCAAAAAAAAAAAACTTTATTTAAGCAAAATCCAAATACATACCCCTTTTGGCATTATTACTCTCTCAAATGAGTATAGATAGTTATGATACTAGTGTCTCACAAATTAGCATTTTTTATTTGATTGTTTGCATTGTATCCATTGGCATAAGAACATTCATTTTGCCATGTCATTTCTCTTGGTTTTATCATTTCAGGGCAACTCTGTATCACTGTGGTTGGTCTAAAGTCATAAAACAAGCTCTTTATCAAATTACCGCTGCACTTGAATTGAATTGAATGGAGCTATTCACGCTTCATATCCAAAGGCTACAGTATTTATTCTTGTTGCCAGACTGTTATTTTCCCACTTCGAGGCGTCTTCCTGGTCTCTGTCACAACAGGCCAGCTGGAGTTGAGCAACTGCACTGCAAAAAGAAAAAAAATAGAACCAAATAAATCATCTGATAAGTAAGCCAGTGCATCTGTCTTTGTGTGGACAAGTTCACATAAGGAGCTATTGTGAAAAACAGCTTTGACCCAAAACCATGTGTGGTGAGTCCACCATGTCCAAACAGGGAGTGGCCCAGCATGTATGTTTTTGTTTCTCCCTTTCCCCGTAATTATGATGGTTTAGGATCATGTAAAGGGCAAAGACAAAGGCACGTTTATTAGTATAGCACAGTACATACATACACAAGGCAACTCAAAGTGCTGAACAACATTAACAAAGAAAATGAACATTAGAAGTCGCTAAAATAATAAATAATCATTGTACTTTAAAAGGAAGGAAGATACAAGCTTTCAGTTGTATGCACAGCTAAAGAGAACTGTTTTTAACCAGGAGAGATTTTAGAGGCATGAACATGAAAGGCTG